ATGGCAACACCGCCCGAAGAGTCCCCCACATCGGTGGCCGTGGCAGGCGGCCGCGCGCTCTGCCAACCTCGGCGGAGACTCCAGGCGCTAGCCTGATCAATATCTTCCATGCGCATCAGTTGGCAGAGCAGAATATGCGCATCGGTCCCCTCGATCCTGTTGCGCATTCTGCCCCGCGAGTTGCAAATTATGGTCTGAATCCTGAGCGGCGCGGCGTCGGCTTGGACGGGCGTGCTCGCCGCGGCCGAGGCATGAACAAACTTGGGCGGCAAAGCTCCATCTGACTGCGCGCGCGGGCCAGGTGGGCCCGCGCCCTCGCGTCCTGAGACCGAAGGTCGAGCGCTTCGAGCAAAATGCGGGGGCCGAGGGCAGCTCCGAGCGACCGTTCCGCCGGCGGCCCAGGCCACCCAAGGCAGCTGCCCTCCAACGAATCGCCCCCCACAACCTGCGACACCGAGGATGGGGCAGGAAGTGGGTCCGACCGTTGCGGCGCGGCAGGGGACATCCTCGGCCAGAGAGATCACTGGGTGCACATCCGTCGGTCGAGCGAAACAAATAAGAGCATGACGCCTGTGAGTAGTCAAGATGTCGCGCGCGCTGTCACCTGGCTGACCGATCACCAAATCGGCGCGAGCAAGCAGCGAGCGCCATCGGGGCGAAGGCCCACGCAGCTGAATGACGTTCATCCTCGAGCAAGCGGAGTTGCAAGAGGAGAAAGCGAGGAGGACTGGCATGCCTCGCTTGCGCCAGAGTGCCACCTGTGCCGCTGAGCGGTTGTGAACAGAGTAAACCGAGTCGCATCCCCCCTGGAGGCTACACCTGAAAGCGCCTTCCACCAAACCAAACGTCTCCGAATCACAGGATCCTGGGGGGCGCGGTCAGAGGTCCCAGGGCCCAAGCAAAAGGAAAAACAAAGCTCCTCCGAGGGGGGGGGGGGGGGGGGCTGGATCAGAAGCAGCGACCGCAATCCTGTCAGCTCGTGCCCGCGCAGTCGAGGGTGCCTGAGCCGTCGACGCGGGAGCCGGCGCCGAAGCTGACTGCGAAGTCGGAGTAGCTGCCGTAGGGGCCGACGCGGATGAAGCAGCATCGCCTCCTGTTGGCGCTGGCGAGGCGGCGGGCTCAGGGCCGACGGCCGCTGCAGCCTGGGGCGCCCGCGCAGGAGGAGGGCTGCCCCCTGTCGCGCCTTTGCCCCCTTCGCCACAGCGCCACTCCTTGGCCGCTATCCGCTGAGCCGACGACCTGTGCTCTTCCTGGAGGGCATCGACCTTCGAGTTGGCCTCCGCGTGCAGGGTGCGCGCCATGTCGGAGATGCTGCTCTTGAGCTGCTCTACTCGGGCCGAGAGCTGCTCCTTCTCCTCGGCGGACAGGGGGTCTTCATCCGTGACAGTGAAACATTCGCCCACGCCCAGGTCTACTGCCGCTGAGAAGCGCCGTTCGTCGAGCAAGCCCTCCACGAAGAGCTCGCTCCCATCGGTCGCCTCTTGGGGCGAAGCGGCAGTTCCTGGCGGCTCGTCATGGAGGCGACGCACCAGCGCCCCATGTTCACATTCAGCTTCCACGAGCTCGGCGCGGAGAAGAAGCACCTGCGAACGCTGCGCCTCCAGCTGGCTCTCCAGCTGCTCGAACCCGCTGGCGGCGCTCTCGACTCGCTTCTCCACTCCGCGAGCATTCTGGTGCGCCCGATTGGACTGGACCTGAATGGGCACCGAGGGAGTATCTGGAGCTTGAAGAGCCGCCGCGGCAGTCTTGTGGGCCCATGCACCCTGCAAGTCTCCCAACTTCTCACGCAGTCCCGCCGACTGCAAGTGCTTTTCCGCGGTGAGTGGGGGAGCTTCGGCAGCGGTGTCAGCAGCGCCCCTGGCACTGCTGGCGGGCACCCTTTTGCCGCGTTTGCCGCCGCCACCGTTGCCGCCTCTACTGCGGTCGCCAAAGAGCTCGACCGACTTGCCCGAGGACCACGAAGAGGAAGACAGCGCGGAGTCGCTCTTGAGTGCGCCACAATACTCACATAAATAGTGCCGACCTTCGTTCTTCCTGCACCCACACCAGCAGCATGTCCAGCGCTGTGGGTGGCTGCCTGCAGGGGCGCCAGCAGCGCCGCCGTCGCAAGCAGCGCCCTGCAAACCATGCGCGAGAGGGGGCTAGGCCTTCGGATCATCCCGCTTGGGCGGTCGCCCTGCGCCGAGACGGCCCCCCCCCTCCTCCA